TGGGTAGAAATAGCTGATATCAGTGATTTTCCAGTTTTGCTGGGGTATGAAGTTGTTAGTGGTAGAATGTTGGACTGATAAAACTAAAGTTGAAAGAGAAGTAGATGATTCTCTGTGTAAGACTGCTAATTCTGATTGTATAATTGTGTGCATATTTACTGTTACTGTGTCTATAATATGTTGCATATTCATGTTGTTTGTATGAGCTGCATGTTTCTCTAGAGCTTTAATTAATGATCCTGAAGAATTGTCAGTGTTTGGGAGATTTTGATTGTTGGAGATTATGATTGCAATTGATTGTTGGTTTTCTGTAGTTGTCTGATCAAGAGATGGAAATTCATATGTTGTTGAGATAGGTAGTTCCTGCTGTATTTGATCAGAAGTTGTTGATGGGACATTGTTTAAATTACTGCTTTTGAATGAAAAGTCCATCATCAAGTTAGTTGAGAGATTACTTGAGAACTTGTTCAAGATGGCTTGCTTACTTAATAGTGATGCTCTATAAGAAGATAGCTTTGTAACTATCATTGTGTTCTGAATGAATTTGTGAATTGCTGTTCTGATTATCAATGGATCAAGATTTCAGTCTGCTGAATAAAAAATGTTAGAGGACTCTGATTCTGATTGAGTCAGCTGTGAACTGTTCAGTGAAAGCACTTTAGAATTCTCCTTTGGTATACAAGATTGATAAATGTTGGAGACTTGAATTTGTGGTAATGATATCTTATTATTTTTGGTGATGAATTCTGCTAGATGTTGTGTGCTGAGTGAAATTACTCAAGAGCTAGTGTTACTTTGGCTATAGTTAATTATGTATTTAGCTGTTTGCAATACAGAATTAGGAAGAGACTCAATAATTGATCTGATTTTATTTGCTGATTCCATTATTTCTTGTTAAATATGCTTAGAGTTCATGAGTATTTCAGTAAGATTTTTTAGAATTTTGGACTGCCCTTGAAGTTCCCAATCAAGCAAGACATGCTACCAGTTTATTATCTGGTCTAACTGAGCTATGAAATGTCTGTGCAATTTTGGTTGTGTAGTAGAAGATGATTCTTCTATTTCCTTCCAGCTTCATAGATAAGCTCAAAGGGCTGACTAAGTAGCTAAATATTCTGATATTATGTACAGTAATGATTCCATGTAAATCTCAGTGCAATCTCTTCTGTATCTCTCTCTTCTTTCATAATCTGTAATTAATATGTGTTGTCTGATTATTTGACACATTCTGAGCAACTGATTTAAAGTAACATATAATTGTCATCTTATTTTCTGATGTTAAAAATTGATCATTATCATTCTGAGAATCTGAGACTTTTGATTAACATGATAATGATTCATCAGTCTTTATAAGAAAGAATAATTCAGTAAGAAGTATTTACAAAGAAATTTAGATATGAGAGAGAGAAAGATAACTTGTATTGCTACAACAGTATCTAAAATGTCTAAATATATTATCACTAATGTTTATAAAGAAGTGTCTGTAACAGATTTTATGTGTTTCACTATGCTAATAGAATTATGTAACTGATCATAAAATTTATGAATTTCAAATAACTAAAAGCATAATTATCTAAGCATGAAGAAGATTTTACAAATGTTGTAACTTTGTTTAAATGATGAAATGAATGTAAAATAATTACAGTACAGAATCATACAGATTTTCTCTTTTTGATAAGTTTTGATTTTCAAGACATAAATGTGATATTAAAATCACAGTGAAAGTGACAGTTTCTTTATAAGCTTCTTACAAAATCTTCTTTTTAATGTGATAAATGTAAGATAATCACAGTACAAAATCTTCATTTAATTTCAGTTTCTAAATGTAAATATGATAGTAAGATTACAGTAAGAGTGACAGCTTCATTGTGATTGTAATATAGTTGTTGTAGTAAACTGTCATTTTTCATAATTTATTTAGTAACATTTAATTATTCTGTAAATATAAATATTTCTTACTTAACTCTCTCTCTCTCTCTCTTTTTCTTCTTTTTTTTTTAATAATAAAAGTTTCTGAATAAGCATTCTCTCTCTGATGATTATGAATTTTCAAGAACTTCATAAACAACTATTTCTAATGCTAATATTTTTATATAGAGAGATATTTTTTGTTGTATTTCTCTTTCATTCTTTGAAAATGTTGAAATGTGAGTGACAATGACTCAATAAATTTAAAGAAAAAACTTCAATCAGTCATTATGTAAAATATTTTTTAAGAGTTATGAAAGATGTGCTTCTGAAGTCTTGATTATCTGTTTTTTCAGAATCAGAATTCTCATTCACTGTTCTCTCACTCAGAGTTAGACTGACCATCAGAAGCAGAATTTTCCAGCCAGCATTTCATCTCTAACTCAAAATAAGACTGAAACTTGATGGTTCAAACTGAGAAGTACTGGAACTTAAATTCTATGTACTAAGATGAAAATGAAACTTGATACAAAAGAGATTGAGACTATTCAATTAGATACAAAGATCTCACATCTTTGAAAATCCAAAATACAATCTTATTTTATAATATTTTTAGTATCAAAATAACATATAAATGTATATATATTATATGCATCTTGACTTAATGTAACAATATTTCTATTTTGTCATATTTTAATGTAAAAATACACTTTCAAAATGAAGTTTAAAAAAAATTAAAGTTGTTTTAGTGATAGAAAAATCCAAAGATGGGATTTGAAATATAAAATTTGAAACTGAAAGGAGAATGAGACTTTTACTCATATTTTGAACTGAAATTGAGACTAACTTTCAAATTTTGAAAGGAGATTGAGATCAACTGAATTGAATTTGACTTTCAGTTTTGTTCCATTGAGATTCCAAAGAGATTTCAACAGTCAGTCTAGTTACAGTTACTACATTCTGAGTTTTTTTAAGATCTTCTGATATATCTAGTAGACTGATCACAGAGACAGAGATTTCCCAACTTGGATTCCATTTCTAATGCAGTAATGGAAAATTGGGATGGGACTGGAACTTGATAGTTCAAAGTTCAAACTGAGATGGAACTGGGACTTGAGTTTCAAGTACTAAAATGGAAATAAAACTTAATTTAAAGAGATTGGAATTATTTAATTAGAGATAGAGATTCTCAATTTCCCTAAACTTAAAATAAAATCTTATTTTATACTATTTTTAGTATCAAAATCATATACAAATGTATATATGCATTTTGACTTGATGTGTCAATTTTTCTATTTTGTCATATTTTGGTGTAAAAATACACTTTCAAAATAAAGTTTGAAACAAAATTAAAGTTGTTTTAGAGATAGAGAAATCTAGAAATGGGACATAACATAGAAAATTTGAAACTCAATAGAGAATGGGACTTGTTTTCATATTTTGAGATGGAATTGGGACTAATTTTCAAATTTTGAGAAGAGATTGGGATCAACTCAATTGAAATTAACATTTAGTCTTGTCCCATTGAGATCTCAAAGGGATCTCAACAGTCAGTCTAATCTCTAGTAATATTCTGTAACTTAATGTGATTATACAAGATCTTGATCTGTTGAGCCACTTCACAATGTCTGAAAACAGTTCAATTCACATCATATCAATTGTGAGAATATAACATTCTCAAATATAATCAAATTTATATACTATATATTGTCTTACATAACATGTGTATAACATGTATAACTTCTATAACATTTACAGAATCATATACATAAATCTTGATTAAATATAAAGTTTTATCCATCACTCTTTTGGAATTAGATCAAATTTTATTCCATAAAAGTTTATTTCAAACTTCATTCTCTAATAGAGCTACAGCAATAAGATTACTACCATAGTATTGCTTATATAAATTATTAATCAAGAAAAGAATAATAAATTGAGGTTAGAATGACTGTCAGAATCTCTTTAAAATCTCAATGAAACAAGACTGAATGTCAATTTCAATTGAGTTGATCTCAATTTCTTTTCAAAATATGAATAAAAGTTCCATTCTCTTCTCAGTTTCAAATTTTATATTTCAAGTCCCATTTCTAGATTTCCCTATCTCTAAAACAACTTTAATTTTTTTTTCAAACTTTATTTTGAAAGTGTATTTTTACACCAAACCATGACAAAATAGAAAAATTGGCACATTAAATCAAAATGCATATATACATTTGTATATGATTTTGATACTAAAAATAGTATAAAATAAGATTTTATTTTAAGTTTAGACAAATTGAGAATCTCTATCTCTAATTGAATAATCTCAATCTCTTTAAATTAAGTTCCATTTCCATCTCAGTACTTGAAACTCAAGTCTCAGTTCCATCTCAGTTTGAATAATCAAGTTTCAGTCCCATCTCAATTTCTCATCAGTGCATTAGAGATGGAATTTCAGTTGTAAAATCTTTGTCCTCATGGTCAGTCTAATTTTGAAGACATTTAGTCATTTACATCACCTTTCAAAAATATAACTTAATTAAAAATCTAAATTAAAATTAAGTTATTTCATCAAAGCAAAATAGTAAAATAATATAAAAATTCATTTTCATCAACTGCTTATAATATTTCAATTAATTTAAAATTTCTTTTTATCAACTAGAACTTGCTAGTCTTGTTTTTGGAAACTCTATTAAGTATATACTAAAAAATTATAAAAGTTTTCTGAATGTGCAGCCATGTTCAAACTTCAGCAACAATCTTACTATATCTATCATCTTATACAGATAATAATTGCTGTCATAAACATACAATGATACAATAAGATTCTTTTTGCCTTTGCAAATCCTTTTCTATTATCTATAGTTAGACCTGAGGCCAGTATCCTAGTTAGATCTGTTCTGCCTTTTCACAAACAACAATTCTTACAGAACATCAGGTGCTTACTTTTACCAAAATTGTGGATCAACTTAGGCCAAAGCCACTTCACTTTGATCAATCACCCCATAAGAACATGCCCTTCATGTAAAATCCTACAGTTTGAGAATTGTTGACAGTACGTAGAATGTATATCCATTTTCTCTTGTGTGGATTGGTCATGGTTTATAGTTCTAAGAACTTGCGACGCGCCTAGCCGCATCAAGAGCGCGGTCGAATATTGATTCGAGAATAGAAACATCTTCCAGGCCGACGCTAATCCGCACCAAGTCAGATGCTACACCAAACGAATTGGCCTAGTACGGATAGTGTAAGTGTATGAGTAAGCCAAATATTTCATAATACATACCCACTCAAGTTCCCCATAATGAGCCAATAGCGTGTATGGCGAGCTTTATCTAGTCAGCTGGATAATATACTCATTGATCGTGGCATGAAGCATACCTTAGCGTGAAATTTGTGCCTAGACTTGGGCCTTTCATCACATTAAGAGCATCGAAAAACGCCATTGCTGTCGTCGTTGTCCAAAAGGTGATTGAAAACAATCCTCCATATCCGCCCTTCGGGTTTCGACAGATATCATATAAGTGTTTGGTTGGACTGTACTTTGGATAAAATATTTCTTTAACTGTAGAAAAAGTCAGAGGCAAAATTAAGTGTTATTCCAAAATAACTGACCTAGCGGTGATGCTTTCAATCGCGCTGTTATCGCTTCTGTTGACACATTAATCCTCTGGATGCGAGAAATAAAATCACGGCTGTTCCTTTCCAGAAATATGGCATCTTCATGCCAATAGTTATCCTCATACTCTTTATCAAGGACGCCCTTCAATGCTTGATAATACTGGCTGTGAGGGTTATAAACAGCACTTCCTCCCATTACATTACTATCCCCGCTAAAAATTTTCGTCAAGCTGCTAACAACAATATCAGCATAAGGTATAACGTTGACATTAATGAAATTCCCCAATGATTCATCCACAACAACAGCAAAATCATATTTGGTACCCAGGGCATATATACGCCTGAGATCAGGGGATCTCAACAATGGATTCCCGGGAAATTCTGTAAATAATGCCAAAAATCTCTCTCCTGCCTCTAAGCGACTTTCTAAATCATTGATGTCTTGTGGTGATCCGTGGCCGTAGAAGACAACGCCTGGTCCCCATTTCTCTAGAATTTTAAGCGTATCAATATAAGGGAAACCAAAGCAGATACTTTTCATTGGACCCCGAGCAGCCAGGAGAGTTTGATGCGAGTTAAAAATGGAACTCATTCCGCTAGGGTAGAGATAAACGTGATCGTCAGTAACACCATCGATCCGGCGGCTACTTGTAGAAGAAGTTTCAAGAGCTTCTGACAGGCCGACTGTTGCGGTAATGGAACCTGAGATCCTCCTCTTCACGGCCAGTTTTGCACTATGGGCCAATGACAGATTCAAATTTCGCCCAAAGCGCTCCTCGATGAATTGGTCAAATTCTCGACCTTCTGTACGTATCGAGTGGAGGTTCTCGCTCCAGCCTTGGTGGAGTATTTCTTTGGTGGAGCCAGACCCTCTATCGCAGTTCTGATATCTTTTGGGCCCTCTTGGGAAATCTTTGGGTTGTGAAGCTGTGGTTTGATCAAGAAAGCTATGGGACAAAAAACCGTCCATTAGTAGTTTCAAGTAAAACTCGCTACACCGGCTCGAAATCCCCTCTCCGCTATGTTGCCATACTTGTTTTGCCAGGCCAGCGTACCGTTCGGGATAAAAGACGCAGAATATGCCAGGTGCTATGCTGTATGGCCGTTCGCTTGATGCCAAAGGAGCGAAGGGTGATATCACCGCTAGCCGCACAAGTCGAATGTGTTTGTGGCAGTCCGTCGGTACCCTCGATAGCATGAACTGACGGCAGTGAGATGTTGCCTTCAAAGATGGAAACAGTGCTATAGACTCTCCCACATATCCAAATCTTCGAACCAGCTGTCTAGATAAGTCTTGTATGGATTTATGAAAAAAGAACCTCGGGTAGCCGGTACTCATAGCATGGATAACCCACTCCTCTCCTTCTTCATAGCCTACGTTGGCTTTCCAAGTCGGGAGGGACACGCTGACAGCCTAAAACTTGAGGTTAGTATTGCTGTTATGCTGAGAAAATAAGCAATGCTGGAAATTCTGGTACTTTGTAGAAAAATGATGACACTGTAGATATACTATAGCAGATATCAACAGAATGGTGCAAAAGGCAGTCCATTGAAAACAAACCCAGTCTAGAAGCAGCAGGCCTCAACTCACATGGGAAGTATTTGGTGGGATCGATTCTCCTAAGGCCAGGTTTTGTGCCATTTGGGGCGTCATATGAAATACAGATCAGTTTTAACTAGTGGTGAGGCAAGAAGTAGGAAAACAGTCAGAAGGATATTGTTTGTAGGTAAGTAGTGTGGTAGTGCTCCGTAAAGCTTGATGGATTCTAATTACTCACTCTTGTGAAGGGTCTACAAAGCATGTATGTTGAGCAGAAGCAGTCAGGTCACTTGTCAGGTGACCAGTACCGCAGCCTAAAAGACACAAGCGGTCATAATTTGTATTGAATGTTTTACATTGTATTGCCACAACTCTTTTTCTTTTCCACACACAGAAGTAGACTAAAAAGATCTGATTGATTCTATTGAAATGTACTTCATATAGACTCTTCATCTCATCATCTCAGATGCATGCTGTTAATGTTCTTTAGTGTGACTTTAGTGGTTTGAGCTAACCTATTTGGGTAATTTGACCAGAATCTGACCAGGACAGCATCTGAGCTGGTTTTCAACTTTTTTGCAGAAAGTCAGAAATAATCATACAAATTTAAGAATTATAAACTGAATCAGAGTCATGCATGTTGAATTAACTGCTTTGAGAACTTAATATGATGTTTTTTTATATAGACTTCATCTATAAATTATAATTATGTTTAAATTTACTGTAGAGCTTCTTGTTCAATCTGCTTCATATTATTGAATTTTTTCATTTAATTATCTAATTGAGAAATACTGATTGATCAGTTTTAGTTATTCTATAATGACAGTATGTATATAAATACATCTTTTCTCTAAATTAATGATCTCTCAGCACTTATCTATCTTCTTTATAGACTAATTTAAGTTTTTATTGTTGAGATTTCATATTGTCTGTTTTCATGTAATTTTTTTAACTCTATTCTATCTAATTCTTATAACATTATCACTTTCAGCTAGGCTGACTGCAGGGACAGGGATTTCCCAACTGGGATCCCATCCCTAATGCACTAATGGGAAATTGGGATGGGACTGGGAATTGGTAGTTCAAACTGAGATGGGACTGGGACTTGAGTTTCAAGTACTGAAATGGGAATGGGACTTAATTTAAAGAGACTGGAATTATTTAATTAGGAATAGGGATCCCCAATTTCCCTAAACTTAAAATAAAATCTTATTTTATACTATTTTTAGTACCAAAATCATATACAAATGTATATATGCATTTTGACTTGATGTGCCAATTTTTCTATTTTGTCATATTTTGGTGTAAAAATACACTTTCAAAATAAAGTTTGAAAAAAAATTAAAGTTGTTTTAGGGATAGAGAAATTCAGGGATGGGACATAACATAGAAAATTTGAAACTGGGAAGAGAATGTGACTTGTTTTCATATTTTGGGATGGGATTGGGACCAATTTTCAAATTTTGGGAAGAGATTGGGATCAACTCAATTGGGATTAACATTCAGTCTTGTCCCTTTGGGATCCCAAAGGGACCCCAACAGTCAGCCTACTTTCAGCTGAATATCATTTAAATTCTCTGATCAACTAAATAAGTGATTGTTTTATTAAAGTACACATTTTTTTTTTTTCATTTTCTGCTCTATATCTGATTTGCTATCTATTTCTGAATTGATGAAAAATAAAATACATATTATGTTGTAAAAGTTAACAGAAAGCAGTAAAGAAGAAATGAACTTGTCTGAAATAATTCAGAACTACTTAATTATTTAATCTCTCAGCATTAAAGACAGAATTTACTTATAATAATAAAAATCAGATTTCATTAACAATGTTCATAAATGAAACAAAATGATGTATGCATATAATTAATATTATTAAATCAGTTTTTGATTATTAAATCAGAAAGTATTAATTAAATATACTTATAATACTTCTTTATTAAAGAAATCATCTTCTTCTCATTGTAAAGACTTTATTTAATAATAATATAATTGTTCAGACTTTTCTGATTCTACTGTCTGAAAATATGATTATATATGTACTTTCTCTCACTATTATTGAAACTGAATAGATTCAGAAGATGCAGTTTTTATCTGAAGCTCTCTTACTATATGTTTATGATGATAATATTAATCAGCCAAGTCTAAATCAAAATTGCTGCAGAATTTATATACTCATCTGTATATAAGTTTTAAGTAACTGATCAGTTCAAAACTGCAGTCAATTCTCAAAAATTCTGTTTTTTGAAATTACTTCACTATTATAATTATAAATGAATTACATTTAATGTTAGATTGAGAGAAGAAGTTCTGATGGTCATTTTCATATCTTTATATGATCAAAGCACTACTGAATGAGATGTCATGAGCTGAAATCACTGTCACATGTAATTGAGTCTACATAAAAGTCATGTTTGAGTCTATTTCACTGTGCTTGAGTTATGATATTATTTTTACTGATGTGAATTAGTCTGAGATAGCTATCCTGATCAGTTGTATTAAATGTAGAAAGTTCAATACTTTTGAGTCACTTTTCTTTATAATTAAACAGATTTTTGATCAAATCACTGCTATAGCTGTTAAAACATTATATCACAATCATAAGTCAATTTCAGATAGAATCTCCAAAATTATAGTCTTTGTAATAAAAAAGAATGTTCTAAAGAGCACTTTAGTGTGATCAGAAATTAACTAATTAGTCACTTTGAGAATTTTACTACTCTGACTTACTTCACTGTCAGCACTTGATATGAAACACCATCAATTCTAAGTCAAATTTAATGAAAATATATTCATTGGAAAGCTCTTGTTTTATTTAGTTATTCTCTCCATTTTTGCCTGGCAATTCACTGTGGTGGGTGGGAAATCTCACACCAAAGACTGAATCACCAGTTTTGGCTACTCAGGCACTTTGTCTGGTCATCACAACACAATCACCTCCACTACAGCCCTGAAATGTTGGAAATTGATTTCTTTTGTGTTAAAGAATCTATACTCAAGAGAAAAATACTTGCCTTCTCAAACTGATTAAGAATTCATGCAGTTTTGGTGACTCTTCATCAGTCTTTCACAGTGAAAAGTTTTTGTGTTCCTGGCTTACTAAGCCTTAATCAGCAACACCAAAGCTGAATTGAAGTCTGAACTTACATAATTATTCCACCAAACTCTATTATACTCCATCAAAGTGGTACAACTGCAGAACACAGCCAAAATTCTGGCAGAACATAGAAATTTGATCACAACTCAGCCAAAACAAAATCTTTTTAAATTCAGTTGGATATTTCTGATTCTCTGATCAATTCTCTACTTCTCTGATATCCTATTGATTTTCTCCAGCCCTGATTTTCACTTCCAAAAAGTCAAAACCATTTGCCAGTTGGGGTCAGCAAAGATAAATTCAACCACAACTCAGTCAAGACAAGATCTCTTCAAATTTGGTTTGATATCTCTGATTCTCTGATCAATTCTCTACCTCCCTGATATCCTATCAATTTTCTCCAGCCCCAATTTTCACTTCCGAAAAGTCAAAACCATTGGCCAGTTGGGGTCAGCAAAGATAAATTCAACCACAACTCAGTGAAAACAAGGTCTCTTCAAAATTGATTTGATATCTCTGATTTTCTGATCAATTCTCAATCTTCCTGATATTCTATTGATTTTCTCTGGCCCTGATTTTCACTTCTGAAAAGTCAAAACCATTTGCCAGTTGGGGTCAGTAAAGATAAATTCAATCACAACTTAAACAAAACAACTCTTCTCTCTTTCTTATTTGTTCCAAAGGCATAGACTCTTCCAGTCACTGATTTCTGCATTCATCAGCTAGTGATAGTTAAAATTGCTCTTTTATAGTTAGAATAATCATACTAGACTTGTTGATTTTCTAGCAAAGAAGAAGGCTTTTTACTTACATATCATAACAGTTTCTTTCAGTTCTTCTGCAGTTGGAATTTGACTTTGCCTTGAGATACATTAGTGTCTTGCAAAGAAGAATTAGAATTGTAATCTGAGATTGAAAAAGAACTGAGTTATCTTGAATCTTAGATATTGATTCTGAGATTCTGATAAAGTTGCTTGTCACTCTTCAAAAAGACAAGAAGAGATTTTTTCCTGGGCTTGACTTCTTAAATAGACAGGAACAGCACATAAGTCATCCATTTTCTGTGATCAACATAAGATATAGGGACTAAAGTTACACTCTTGAAGTGTGAGACTAGTTGATATATTGAACTGAGATTATAAGTGGTTTACTTAAGTCTTCCCTACCAAAAAGACTTTCAGTTTGACAATTCTCTTGAAAAATTGTTAGTGGGTTCTCTTATTCAAGTACATCTACTCATCTGGCTTCACAAGTTTTCCTTTGTTATCTTGCACCATTCCCCTCAGTTCCAGAGTAATCTTAAAATAAACTGCTTTATTAGTTCAGGAACACGCCATCTATTACTGCTATTTTTGTTCAGGGAATTTTGAAAACTTTGGCTTTTTCTTGACTGATTTCTGTCAAAACT